TCATGCAGGCCGGCTCTCAAGGGATGGGCCCTTGAGCCTGCCGCCGCGATCCGCCGGAGTATTAAGCCCGACGATTGTTATCACCACTACCTACCAGGTGCCCTCTGATCATTTCCTTACAAGTGCGAGTGAATACATTGGAGTCCGGGTTTGGACACACTTGATCACATCGCAAGGCCCAAGTTACACGATGTCGATGTCTGGCACTGTTGGACATCGTCCTCGAGGTCGCAGGGAAATCCCTCGCGAAATGGGCTTTGCGAGGGGTTCACGCCGGCCGACCTCTGTGGGGAAGAGTCCCGGGAGACGAAATGGGATCTGGACCTATGGCCCATTGCAATGGTTTGCCCGTGGTCGGCCGCCTGCATGATGCATTCTGCAAGTCCTTTCACGGCGAGCGCTTAGAGCACAGCAACACCTCGTCAAGAACGGATCTGCACGCCTGGAGATCGCCAACGTGGCTCCAGTCAGTCGATTGCCAGCCCTCCACCTTTCCACCCATCGATCGTTGGCCCAACTGCTTGGGCCCGTAACCGCTGGAGGTGACCGCAATAATGATCTTGTGATTGGTGCTGCGCAAGTCGACGACGGCATGTAAACCCTATATGTAGCGGCTTTCTCTGCGTGGCGTTCCCGTACCCCGCTGTCGTGGTTCATGACGCCCTACAGTTACCCCTATGTTCATGGCCAAGACTCTACTATCCGGACGAGAGATTTCTGATTGGGTGAGATGGCGCCTCTACGGTATCTTAAGTTGAGGCGAACAACGGTCTCTGTTCCAACAAGCGCGCAAAGCAAAGGACTTGGAGTGTCTCGCAAGTCATTGCGTTTTGCCGCCGAGGAGCCTGACATACTTGGTGGCGGCAAGTTGAAGCGGCACGAGGCGCGTCAACGATGAAGCTGATAGCCGCGGAGCCGGCACCAGTATCATGTATACTACAGAAAGACGCAAGCTTTTCGTCACTCAACTGTGGATGTTGCCATTCCTGATTCAAGCACATTATGCCCGTCCGACTAGAGATGACCGGCCTGGAAATTCGTTGACAACATGGCCTGGTTCGACAGTCGGCTTCAGTCAAACTCTAGCGCATCCTGACATACTGTTTTCCCAAGATTCTGAACAGTCACAACGGATGCCTCACCATCGATTAGGAGTTGTGTGTGACCTCCAGCGGTCGACAGACCCGTGGTCTGTTGAGGAATCTCAAGCACATTTGGACGTAGGAGCAGATGGTCCTCGAAGATCGTTGGCCCGGGATATGGTAGCGTTCGCTCTACACAGCCGAGTACCTTAGTGAACGACAGTGAACCGATGATTTCGTCACTCGCGTTTCCATGGCTGCCAGTCGACGGCATCTACGCTCGACAAACTGGGGCACCGATGAGACAGAGTATACCTGTTTTCAGTGCTTTGAAGGCGCCATCACACTTGTGTTGTGGAAGCACTGATTGACATTCTCGAGGCAAGCATTGTGAATCCGTTACCACCGCCTGATACGGCAGAAATCGCGATTGTGTGGGAGCACTCGGGGAAGAGCGCATTCAGAATGATCAAGCTGTGCTATCATGCTGAAACAATGGTCAGCCTACTGTCTGAATCGGGAGATGGGCAACCGAGTCACCAAGTGGAATATTCGAACAATATGGCCAGCTCTGAGGTGTCGAGCCCTTCTTGGTACAGAGAACCTGATACGTTCTCAAACATCCTCCACGAGGTATGGCAAAATCAGCTTTGCCGGCAAATCGAATGGAATGTGCACAAGTGTGCTATCTAAGAGCATAGGAGTGTGGATTCTGGCTCGAGGAGAAAACCAGTGACCCTGTTTCTGAGTCTTACCGATCGTTTATGTATCCCCACGGATAACGGCCCCTGTACGGCGACTTCTAATCACCTCTGTTCATGCTGAGGCCTGGACTGCGGCAATTATCGAACGACATAAAGATAGGCTTAGCCAAGGTCCTCTTCGGCGGCCAACCCCTCTCGCTGAACCTAGGAGCCTATGAGGGAACACGCCTGCATGCCCAGCCTGGGCATGTCATAGGGCTGAGATCCTCGGAGAGTAAGATTATGTCTCCTACTGTTCGTCTCCTTGCTAGCTCTGCTTCGACGGCTGCTCATTAGCCAATCAAGTAATCTTTCTATCAAACTTCGTATAGCAAACCAATAAGCTACCCCGGCGGCTTCTGATGACAGATCCTGCAGCTCTCTCTTCCTAGAATTCACTCTACCCAGGGTACAGCATCCTTCCGAAGGTTGCTACCTGGCAACTTACCAATACGTTTGGGCATCATCGACCTTGAGAGTGACCCTATATCAGATTCCCACGGAATCCTTTGATAAGGTCAGGACTGTGCTCACGTCCAAGCTCAGTAAATTTTGTAGAAGATCACTAGGCTTCGATGGCCCAATCTAGGTGTGCGGGGGTCGGTATCAAGGTCTAGCTGTCGAGGCGTGACAGTAAAGGATGGAGAGGGTGGTAAGCAGCAAGGCAGCTGACGTGGGCGTGATCTCACGATCTGCTCATGCGCAGAAACGCCATCTCCGTCTTGAGCTTCCAGCTCGTCCCCTTGCCCATACCTTGGCCGAGTCTCCGCGCTGTCATCTGGGCCTGGTCTATCACAGTGGAAGGAGCTCTTCGTGCATGGCGGGTGTTGACGTGTCAGTTGGTCGGTTCGGAGCAACAAACATGAACGACGATACACCGCTACCCTATGGAGGGAGACTCTCGCCCACCCCTCGCTTCTCCAGACAACCCACAGCGGGTTCGCTGATCAAGATCCTACGCGCAACCACCACCGCGATTCCCAACAGAACGGTGTATCTGTGCGCTGTGTGTGTTACACGGCAGCCGTCACTTGGAGGAGGTTATCGCAACTGCGAGCGAGCTTCTCTCATGGAGAATGAGAGGCCACACACATACACACACGTCGATGAAGGAGGGGTAAACTAAAATAAGCGCAGCTCGGCCGTAGATACAGGCACATTACAGACATGCGGCAACTGGTCCGTCGACTACTCTCGCCTGTTGCCGGATGCCTACAACGGTATCAACTTTCAACTGCCTTTCCCGGTTTACCCATGACCTCCCCACCCCCCCTCGGGACCGTGGAAAGTGGGGACCGAGTCCACGAACCGGCAGCCTAACAGGATCCGCCGACTTTCGAGAATCCCGTTCATTCTAGCCAGGTGGGGTTCGTCTGGCTGTTCTGGAATGTCCCGAATATGACGTGAGATGAGGAAGAAGACGACAACAAGAAAGGATGGGGACCCAAGACAGGGTCAAGGGTATTAGAGTTCTCGAGGGGGTGGTGGGCGCAACCAACCTTGTCCAGGTACAAGTGCATCCCAAACGCGATCACCGCCGCAATTGAGAGGAAGCTCGACTGGCGAGGCGGGAGTCCCTTTTTCGAAACATGGCCGATTACTTTTGACCCAGTCCTCGGCAGCAAACCTCGCCATGACCCCTCATCGCAGCCACCGGGGGGAAGCTCACGGAGACTTCTTGTCATCGGAGACTTAGTCGCAGACACAGACGCTGACTTGATTTGGGACTTTGGTCTCCGTACCCCACGTTCCCATCTGACGGGGAGGCAGAAACATGAGCGCCAAGGCAACCTCACCAGGTCAGTCTTATCGGGGATGGAAACATCGAGTTGCAAGATTTGCCATGATCGGAGGGGTGAGAATGTTCGTGGGTCCTGTCTGCCTGCGAGGTGCCTGCCCTGCGAGGTGGACTCGCGAGGCCCCTCCCCCCGAATCGAAGCTAACGCTCGGAACTTTGGATTAAAGGATTTGATCCTCAAGCTCAATCTCAGTAATCGAGCTGACGCCAACAACAACCCGCTAGTTCCCGTGCCTGTTCCCGCAATATTGCCCGGCGCCGGGGGAAGGGGGGGGGGGGTCTTGAGGGGAAGGTAGGAAGCTTGGTGGATCGTCCTCGGGTTGCGATGCGATGGAGCCTCAGGGGTACGAATAGTGATGGAGACATTCCGAGTCGACTCGGTCAATCTCATCTAGGCAACTCCTACTGAGGCGACATGTCCCGCAACGGAGGCGGGAAAGGAGACTCGGACTATGAGATGGAGCTCTCTCACATCAGCTTTCGTGGAGCCGCGCCTGAGGTGGAAGGAACTTTGGGAGCGCCATGCCCTCGACCAGCCTCATCGACAGACCTTGACAGGACTCTCTCCCTCTGCGTAGTGGTCTTGGCTACTTGCTGCCTGAACCGAAGTTCCGTGAGACTCTGAAAATCAATGAACACACCAGGCCCAGTCTCTTGGCGAGAACCAAGTTGGATATTCCAAAGTATCTCATTCGGAATGTGGAAAGGTATGCGGGGAGATGGCCAGCTCGCTGCCTTTCATCACCTGCCTGAACTTCTCATCTACTTTGATCTCTGTTTCTGCTTGCTTCCTGGAGAGCTACTCGGAGCAAGCTATGCCCCAGGTGTTGCTTCGCATGAGGCTCAAGTGATTTTATTGGGTCCATTGAGACTCTCTGAAGACACTCCGTGAAGACCCTTGGTTCGTTGATAGACTTCCAAGTCAGTTGTCATAGAAACCAGAATCAAGTCAACTGTTCCCTCAGACTCCCCTTCCCGGATGGACGTTAGTCTTTCGGATTGTGCAGTGTAGTTTCGACACCGAAACAGCTCACGATTTAGACTTGGGACTACACGAGCACGTAGATACAGCAAAAGTAACATACACTTATTTCGGATTCGCCTCGGGGTTTAGATACATACGTATGAATACCTAGATACTCACTCATACACCGAATCTCTTGATCTCAGCTACATACATGCTCTCTCATCTTTTTCCACAATACAGACACAAGAAAACCACTCAACAGTCGCAATACCAACCGAACGTTGGTATTGGCATCGTAATCATCATCAACTCATAAACATCGTGAAGCGTGAAATTGTAAGAAGGGAAAACAAGGAAAATCTCGAACCCATCCGTCCACCAGTACATGCCCCCCTTTCCCCAATGAAAACCCCCCCTCTTCCATTCTCCAGAGTATCCGGTAACCCAAGATGTAACAAGATAGCTTTCAACAACATACCGAACAGACAAGCCCCAAGACCATGATGTTCGAAAGAAACCAAGAGTTGACAGTGAAATATGCTGTAAAATGATGGATGAAAAGAAGAGACCTCCCCGATGAGATGGTATACCAAACCCATTTTGTGCCGCTGCCGTGATGCTGATGAAGCGCCGCTTGCGTCTATCGCCACTTTACGTCCCAGAGAAAAAGGACCCGTCCCAATGGTATCATCGACCCTGATTAGACCACTCTCTTCTTTCGTTTCGACTCATTTCAAGTTCGGTTTTGTTTCGTTCTTCAGTAGCGCTTCTCTTCTGGCAGGACATTCTCTCCGTAGAAGCCGCCATGGTGATGGCCATCATCACCGGATGCTGCGCAGGCAAGGCAGACGCCGCCTCCGTAGACTCTCGTATGCCTCTTCCACCCGGCCCCCGAACCGTCCATAGAGGAGATGATCTCACCTCGCACGAGAACCTCTTGCTGAGTGGCTTCGTCATAACGGATTTCACCGTAGATAGGGGGAGGGCCGGGAAGTAGAGGTGACGTAGGGGGGTACGACGAAGGGGAAAAGACCATGCCGGCTTCATCGTCGAGTATTGGGGCCGATGGCTGAGAAGGGATTCCAATGGGGAGCATCTTGGTGTAAGATCTCCTGCGGGGTGCTGGGGAGGACCTCGTAGTTTGCGCCTCCTGCGTTGCTGTCGAAGCGCCGGTTGATGTTGATGACATATAGTCGGGGTTTGGCTGCTCGAAAAACGATGCATCTAGCTCAGACACACCACTGGTGAAGCTCCTTCTGCGCTCATCATAGGTGAAAACAGATGGCGAAAGTTCCGGGGGCGTGAGAGGAGGAGGCTGCGGAGGTCTCGACAACATGAACTGGGCGGAAGATTGACCCGAGGCTTTCCCCATTCGAAGGATGTGGTCCGCAAACATCACATCGCCGCTACTCCTCTTCTCTGTACCTTCAACCGACTCTTTCTCATTTCCCCTCATGAAGCCGTCCTGCGGACTGATCTTCCTAGTCGACTCAGCCCCAGCAACTAGGGTGTTACTGCTGACCCCACGTGACTTTTCTTCCATGACCCAGCCCCCGTCTTGGACGAAGAGATGATGGAGCCGTTGCTGGTTGATCAAGTGATCAAGCTGGCTTTTGGCGTGTTGATCGTGTTCTTGAGACTTTCTGAACTTGTTGCTCGCCGTAGTCCAGAAAGCACCACATACCACCAAGCGTAAGGTGACCAGGACGGTAAGTATTAGAAGACCAGTGCAGAGATGAGAGAAAGAAAGGTGGTGGTAAGAACGACCAGTTGAACGCGGCTCGCCCAAGGCAAGCTCAGCATGAGTGAGAGCGGGCATGGTTGCTTAAAGACAGGCCGGCTGATTATTGGGAAGTGAGTGTGTAGGCTTAAGGAAGGTCGTAAAGGGGGTCTGTCAGCCTTCAGCAGAGGTAGAGGTACCTTCGCCGATGGACTTCGGATGCGGTGTGGTGCCAGGTGGTTGTACGTCTGGGGTATGCCTGTGTCTGGTGGCCCTGGCCAAGACCTAGCAGTGGCTTGCGAGTAATGAAATGGCGCTGCTGGACATAAGCGACTAGGGGGATGTGAAGGTGGGCCTCGGCCGCCGCATCTGCCGTAAGTCGGGAGGGAAAGCTGCCGAATAATGATCCGGGCTGAACCGACTGCTTTGAGTGTGTCAAGGAGGGTGGCCGAAGAGAGGACAAGAGTGAGGGCGAGCCTCGAGTGAGTGAGGGAGAGAGAGGGAGAGAGAGATTGGCGGAGGTTTGTCTACATGATCGACGTGTAAGTGCTTGATCCCTTTTATGGTGCTATTTCGAGTGGATGCCGCGCGCTAGGGTGACGCGAGGCTCATTGCGCCGCAAGCTCTGAAACCATCGGGCGAATTTGAATGGTTCCCACGCATCACTGGCAGCGGCATCACCCAGTAGGTAGTTGTAAATGACAGCGGACTTACAGAACAGGTCGATTACGAAGTGTCCAAGGGGCTGCAAGCTGAGATGGGTTGAGGTGGGTTGAGGTGCCGTCCCCTTACTTGGCAGATGCAAGTCGTAATGGACGAGGGTTGAGACAAACGGAGGCTATTTATGCGCCGTGTTCCCGGAGACAATAGCCTTGTTGTCGCTTGAGTTTGACAAAGGAAGTCCTTCGTGAGGGGCCTAGGATCCAAGGGGAATGAATAAGGATCTAGGACGGTATGAGGATCATAGACCAAAACAGAGCGCTGGTGGGGTGGGAGGATTGGCGTGCAAGCTGGGCAGGATAGAGTATCATATATATAGACACGATGCTTGATGCGCCGTGTCGCGGGAGACGAGACAATATGGGGATAGTTGAACCGTATCGCCAGATCTGGTCCCGCTTAGAAGGTTGTAAGGAATGAGATGATGAAGGGGTCGTGGATGTAAGGGTGTGTACCAAGAGAGGAGGTGTGCGAAAACGAAATCCTGGGATTGCGCGTGGAACAAAAGACGCTCGCCTAGGAGGGCCCGTTTTCAGAGTGCCTTCTACATTCTCAGTCAGCCTCCTTCGTGAAATAAGCGAGAGAGCCCCGAAAACACAATTGCACTAACCAGGTTCTCAAATGCTCTAGCATAGTCACGATGGCGAAAAGCCTTTGCTTAGATTTGCCGCAAGGCGCATCGATAGGTGTGTGGTTAACAACTTCGACTGGTCGTCTTCCAAGCTGGGAAAACGCTTTGAGCTTAAGCGGTGTTGCAGAAGCGGGCGCGGATGGGGTGGCCATGGATGCGCCCACGGGTGGAGAAAGCGACTTTCCAGGCTTGATGGACGCTGATACTCTGTAGATGCGGTCATCATGATCCATATGCTTGAGAGGATGTAATTGACTTGACATGCCTGGGTCGGGTGGGCAACAGGTGTTGTTGGTCTCTCCCATTCCGACTTTTCTAACTGGCTCAGGAGGCGACTGACAGTGTCAGCACCGCTGCACCATGACTGGTATAGGCATTATCCCGCCCGGGCGCGGTTCTGATAAGAGGCGGGCTTCGTTGAGTGGGACGGAGAACGAGACTTTGGAGGGAATACCAATAAGGCGGTGTAGTCAAGTGTCAACGGGGATGCGACCTCGAATGTGACAAGCAAAGCGCCAACTTGCTCGCATTCCAACTCCATTGTGCTAGGTAGTTCGGACTCTTGACTTGCTTCGTCGTGTGTTGGCGCCTATTGCACATTTCGAATGGAGACCAACATTTGGGGTCGATTTTTCTGGAAATGGCGCCAACAAGGGGGAGGGGGGGCTAAAAGACAACATCCCTGTCGTTCAGCCCAACATGAATTCTGGGCATCCGCATGACAGGGAAAGACAAGCTGGAATGGCCCTGGCCCTGGTCGAGGTTCGGCCGTCACCCGTGTAAGTCGGCGGCCGTGGAGTCCAGACGGTCCACCAGACGAGACGGGATTTTGCTTCGCCGAGATCTGGGTCTGGTAGACCGTAGGACGGCGCAACCTCCCATGGCGGCGGCCATCCCACATGGCTACTCATTCATCGCAGCAAAGGGGGTTCTAGTCTAGTGTGACCGGCAACTATTTGGCAACGAAGCAACGCGGGCTGAGCTGGAGTTGTAGTGAGCGATTCGGGGCATGTCTTGCCAGTGGAGAGAGAATGTCGCAAGCTGTTCCAGTGACAGATCTGGACGGCGGCGGGGTACGGAGTACCTATTGCTGACATATCCACAGTGGTTGATGGATCATTGTATCCATACGTATGTACATATGTACGGAATAGACCACGATCGGTACGGAGTGGTGGCGGCTCGGCGACCTGTATCCTCTGGGTCGTTGAAAAGATTCGTACAGAACAGACGTCGTGTCGCGGCGGCGGGGAACTCATTGTGTTCAGGAGCAGGTCACCCGTCGCAAAAGCAAGCTTGCAGAAACTGCCTGCAAGCTCAGACTCCAAGGGGGCGTTGTCGCATTGCAAAGCGAGTTAGCGTGAGCGAGTGGAACGGGGATGGGGGACGTCTCCCTGGTCCAGCTGAGGTGAGCTCAAGGGTAGCCCTACCAGCCACGCCATCTGGGCCTTAGCCCTGCTAGTGTGTGGCCACACGGGGGTGTAATACTTGCAAGCTTGTTCCTCTCAATGCCTGTTCTTTGGGACGATTGGTTGCGCAGCCTAGCCCTGTGGTGTCGATCGATGCGTCCCCCTCCCCCTCTTGATGGGATTCCTTGGGTCGAGAAGAGGATCATGGTGATGTAAATGATGGGAGTTTGAAGAGTCGCCGCAAGAAGCCGGAGTTGGGTTTTGTTGGTCGGCAACTCTTGGCTGTTGGGCACCGTACTATCCAATGTCCTCAAGGGACGAGGTAAGGAGACAGCAGCGAGGTGTGTAAGTGTTGCGCCAGCCCTCAGCTGCCGATATTCGGCATGCCGAAAAGGGGTCGGCCGGCGTGCAATAATCGGCAAAGGGCTGGTGAGCTGGGACTGCATGACATTGCACATGCGCAAGTACCGAAATCTGGCAAGTGAACAATGCACGATGGTGAAGGGCTGGCGTAGGTGCAGCGCGTCGAGGACGAGGTGAGGTTCAGTCACCCAAACATCCAGGACCATTTCCAGGACTAGGTGGACGGGGAGCAGCCGCGATAGGAGTCCGAGCTCCACTGGGCTTGAATGAAGACGAAGATGACATTATGACATTAAGGATCCGAGCATGTGTCCGCATCACCGTGGCCGTATGCCGTATGCGACGAGTGGGATGGAAGATGCGCCGTGAAGTTGCATACATAGAGGCACGCAGGCACGCAGGGTGTGCTGACCGGCCCACGACACCTCGCATGGCAGCCTCCGTGTCTGTTCGGTTTGTTGACGAATGAGAGACACTTCTGTGTCTTTGGTACCCATTGGGTGGACAAGATCTAGGCTAGCATGCCGATTGTCAATTTCCTCCCATGGCTGTATCCGTAGGATCGGAGACATTGTTGGGCGAAATGTTACACTAGTGAAGTTGGGACTAGGTAGGTGGCAAACACCCGCCTTGTGGGTATTATGCCACGGATGCGACGAGGCCGAAGTATACTCGAGATGCCGAGAAAGAAAGTCAGAGGCTCAGACAGAGTGACATGCGAGGAACGTAGCGAGAGATCTGAACCGGCGCAGAGGATGTCGAGCAAAGGTCAGACCAAGCCAGAGACGGTGTGGGGTGCGACGGGCTGATGGTGGTGTGTGATGACGGTGGTGACAATCTGGAACGATTAGCACCTTGTCATGCTTGGGTACCTTAGGTATCACAGCGGGGAGAGAGACATGAGGATGGGAGACGGGAGCCGGGACGCAGGACTGGAACCGTCAAGGCGTGTCAAGCTCGAGGGTTGATCGATCGACGAGGGTTCAACGAGGGTCCATGGAGGGGTCGAGGGGTCGAAATGATGAGAGTACGGATACGGACCTGATACATTTGGGTGAATTGTAATTGGGTTCCATATTGGCGATGCAGAGTTCCAGTCTTTGTCGTTCAGCTGGCGTCGAAATGGCTGCGGCCTCTCATTCGCCCGTTGTGTGAACCAAGGGTCGAAGCAATTTCCCCGGGAGTTTTTGCTTTCCACAGTTCAGTCTGGACTTGAACTTCTGGACTCTGGACTCCTGGAGTGATGCAAGATGGTAGTCATGGTATGGGAGAAAAGGGGAAAAAAAAGAAAGTGAGGGAGACGGAGTCCAGCCCGGCGCACCTCATTGTCTTTCTCGTTCAGAATCTCGAAGGCAGGTAGGTACATTTACACATGTACCGCAAGGGGGCCTCAGGCTTCAGCTCATGCACTCCTGCCTCCGAAAGCACGGTGTTATCCAGGATCCTTACGGGAACGTACCTAATCCCAAGCCTTAGGTCCATTGGGCAGGTAGGTATCATTTGGATGGGAAGGCAAGCATGAACTCAATACATGGGCCTCGTTTGGTTCCTTCCTCGAGTTGGAAACATTTTGCAAGTTTGCAAGACACGACGGGAAGTAGCAAGCTGGACACCTGCAGGGAGCGCACCTGCCATAAACTCATGAGCCACCCCTACAGTACGTAACGGACGCTTGGGCCACCTGTCCCGCTGGTCCCACCCGTCACCCGTCCACACCTCGGTCAGAACGGAGCACTGAGAACGGGAGCTGGTGCAGGCGATCACCCGCTATTAGACATTATTCTCAGCACCCAACGACGACGGCGATGATGGAACTGGAATAGACTCAAGCCACGATCCGGCTTCGTCCTCTCCCGTCTGCACTTTTTCCTCCCTTGCGTGCATTTGCAAAACGTGTTGACCCTGAACTTCCTCACCTTTGATTTAACGACACGTCAATGACACAATTGGACGCATCTGCAATTCATGAGGTGCTCTCCATGTTCCTGTTCAGGTCGTTGCATGACATGCATTTCTGCATACTGCACTCTGCACGTGTAAAGCCCCGTCCTCAACGGCCGCAAGATGCTGTGGCTGCTTTACGGACGTACCTACTTGCCTTCCTTGCCATGCCTTCCTTAACGGTGCCTAGGTACCTATCCATAAGATACCTTACACTTGCTACCTACCTAAGTATTTTGAGATGACTGCCATCCTTCCATTACGTTTTGTCATCCGAAGTTGAAGTGATGGAACCTGGAAGGTATCAACTGTCATCCGGTGTTGTGCCTGCCGCTTCCAACCTAACCTTCCATCCCGTCTCGTCCTATCAATCCCGTTGTCTACTAAGAAAGGTACCTTAAATAGGTAAGGTAAGGCACCTGGAGGTAGGGAAGGTAGGGCCGGAAGTTGCAGTGCCAAGGTGTATTCTCCCCAGACTCCATGTGCCTCTCTATCCACTCTGTACCTACCTTATCAACTGCTCATGGTTGCTATTTTTGTCTACGAGAAAGCTTCCGTTCCCTTCAGCCTTGTTCCCTCTCAACCTCCATTGGCATTCATAAACGACTACTACTACTACTACTACTACTACTACTACTACTACGACGACGACGACGACGACACCGACTTTTCATTTATTTTCTTTCGGCCCCCGATGCCAGCTCACGGCGATCCTCGATGATGGCCGTCCACCTTGCTTGCCAGATGCAGCATTGCGGCCGCCAGCGGCAAAGCACAGCCACAACTCAAGACTCGCGGCATCCTCCTCATCCAACCATTCCCCTTAGTTTTCACGGTGGAAAGACACCTTCAGCTCGTTACCAACCATATGGTACCGAATCATCCTTGAAAGCAAAGCTTTTCGCGTCCAATTTCCTGATGCAAGATGCAGCTTCAGCCGTTGTGGCAACATGCAAATTCCGAGAATACGAGTCTTCACTCCTAATTCGGTCACCCCAGGCAAAACACGCACGCAAAATGCATCTCCACCATGCCCACAGCACTCGACCTCCGCATTTACATTCACAGCAGCCTTAGCCTGTCTATGAAAGTTTCTTCCCCCGAGATGGGGCGCCGAGCCACGGAGCCGACGCGGCCTGATCGCCGCTGCCGTACCCCCCGTTCCTGAGTCTTTTCTATTCCTGTTCTTAGCCAGGACCAGGTCAACAACTTCAGATCCGCCCCCAATGCTCCCGCTCCATGACCAAACTGGCCCATTCAGGAGTCAGGTCGCTATCCCGACTGGTCTCTTTCCACTGGGACATTACTACGGGCATGTTTCGTTCCTGTTGTGTCTCGTTGGCCCCTTTTCACAAGATTGCCATGATAGGCCTTGGCCTTTGCGTTTACGAGAAAAACCAAAAGCCTTTTTCTTCTCGCCTCCTGGCAAACCCCGTCGTCACCCCTCCTTCCGGTCTCGCCTCCCGGCCACCCCGGGCTCAACATTACAGAGGCGGCGACAGCAGGTTGCAGCAACTCGCCGAGAAGATGCTGCGCGTCATCCGCTGGCACACGCACATGCGACTGTACCTTGCGATTTGTTATCCCGCCATCCATGCATACCTACATCAAGTTCATCGCCCTATCATCCCGCCTGATAACCCATGCCACGGAACACGAGTCCGCCCCCAACCGAAGCCGACGGCCGTTGCTCGACCTGGCCCACGCCCACATCCCATCAAAGCCAGACGAGAGCCTTCTCCAGTGGCGCGTCTACGTGCCCGGTGTCGCCATCAAGGCTCAAGCAATGACGAGGGCTTTTCAGATCACCACCATGGAATTTCTCGTATTGCGAGGGACCCCTCCACGCCCGTCTTGACGCTTGTTGGACAGATGCAAGGGTTTGCATCACAACCTCGCCCTTTCAGCGCGACTCGGCGGACTCGCTAGACGCGTGACGGGATGCCGAAAGGCGACAAAGCCTGTGTCACATATCCTCCTTTCCAAAGCATGTGGGTTCGCCCAAGTGCTTATCCTTCACCGTCTAGCTTTAACCTCGAGACGCAGTTGCCCATCACTAGGTATGCATGAAATCTGCAGACTGTCATCCAGATGTGTCACAAAACGAGGTTGATCACCCGGAGCGCAAGTATTCAAGGTACCATCTGCCTGTTTTTGGTGTCATCGGCCCAACTGAACGTCACTCATTTTGGACGCGTTTATCGCAGCCACTCACGCCACTTTGCCAACAGCCTCCACTACATACCACCCGCCATGCGTCCACACCCACCGAAACCATGCGAGGCCATTCAGGGACCCTCGCGCACTTCAGCCTTACGAAGATCCCGGCTCATTGATATGGACTGGCGTCAGCATGTTAATCGCTCCCCATCCACTAGTCCTCCCAAGCCCTTACATATTCCCTGGTCATTGGCAATCCATTGGCTGACCAGCATCGAATAGCTTCACAGACTAACACGCGGATGCACCATCGCCGTCTGGGTTTGCATCGTCGATTTGGTCAAGTCCGCTCTACGAGACTGCCTCGAATCTGGCCCTCCCAATCAAACATCAGTTTGTTGCCCTGATACCACCGCAACCTCCGCTGACCGCCTTTCCTTTCGTCAATTGTGGGAAATTCCCCGGTGCTAAAGAGCTTCTCCCTGTTGATTTGTAAATGATCCCGCCGCCAAGTCGGGGGCAACGCCGTGTTCCCTTGCCATGAAAAGTCGGCAACGCGAAGGACCATGCATTCACTGGTCTCCATTGTCGCGATCCCTTGGTGGAAAAGGACGGCATCCTACATCCGACGGCTTATTGCCATGACTATGCGCGAGGCTTTTGGAAGATCATCAGCACTTGTTTACTTTCGGAGCCTCATGCTCGAATGCGACAGGTTGGGTTACGATTCCCTCAGCCTTGGCTCTTCCGACACGCTCAGTAACCTCGACCTTCAACTCTCGACCCGGGGACACGGCTCAAAAACCCATTTTCTATACCACGGAAAATGTGGCTGATGATTCATGCCAAGCTTACATTTCGCCGGTGCAACCTTGGTGAGCATCGCTCTTAGGTAAGGATGCCCCCGGCAGCGTCTTGATTGGAAAATCTCGATATACTGGATTTCCAGGCTGCGTCTTTTGCTTCCATCAGCGACAACTCAATCTGCCTGTCGGATCTGGCGGCTCTGTCCCACTCCGGAAGCCAACGACAAGGTTGAGTCAGCCCTGCACCTTGACAGAACTTTCCCTTCCTTCATCAGCCATCATCCCAAATCAGAGGCGAATAAAGCGTGGTCAGAATGAAGAAGCCTTCAGCCAAGCCCTATCGGATCGGACTGGCGCAATTCCAGCGACGATTTCGGGCGCTTCGGGCAACACGCGACTGTCAGATGGCTTTCTCGTAACGTCGAGTCATGGTCGTTGCGGTGGGCTTTTAATCATTGAGCTGACGCCATTCTCACTTAATCAAGCGATCTTACCTCTGGCAGCAACAACGGGTTTATCAATCGTATCGCTGAAAAGGGTTGTATTTTCTGGAAACCGTGAGAGTGCAGGTTTATGAGCAATGTCCGAATGACGATCTTTTGTTATTCCGCATCTGGGCTCTGGCGCACCGAAGTCGACCAGGGCGTACCCAAGATGTGGATGATGGCGTTGCACTGGCTGACTGACAGCACTGCTAAGAGGGACGTCAGCCAGCCTCACGAAAGCCTCTTCATTCACAACACAACCCACAAAATCACAGAGACTGAGCCAGGCTGAGACGTTTGAGGCTGGTTTCCAATTCGACCGCACCTGGGCGTGAATAATGGCTGCCGCCTCCGTCCATCTCTGTCTTAGTCGGCCGTCGTCAGATGACCGAACAAGGACAGTCGGGTACCCCAGCCGTGTCCACTTTCTAGGCAGCATCAGCATCACCAACACCAGAAGGTGAGATAGTCGCCCTATGACGAGTAAATATTGTTTCTTCTTCTTCTTCTCACGCCCATGTGATTGAATGCGTGGGGAATCTCTCTTGGTCGTTTATGCGGTTCTCCCTCGATCAAGTCCGCTAGACACTACATACAAAAGACTCCGAGACCTAGATCTCATGCAGAGTCGCAATGGCCACTCCCCCCCCCACCCATCGCCCCTTCTCTCCAACATCCATCTTCGGACCTCCATCTCCGCCCTTGCTCCTCCCCTCGCCAACGTTCAAACGCCAGTCCAAAGTGTAATCAAAATCGCGACAAATAACAATAAACAAGTAAGCCTGCTTTGCCTGCCCGGTCCTGCCCTATCCTGCCTGAGCCACCAAAAAAGACACCAGCGAATCCTGAACCCCTTTTGAATTTTTGGAAATGAAAAAAGCCCGCCCATTCACCAACAACCATGCTTCCTCATTTACAAGTCGAGATGTGGTCTCGTATCGTCTTACGGACGGAAACGTTGTCTGGATCTGACAAAGATCAACCTCCCAAATAGGGAAGTTTTCGTAGAATAGAGACCAACGCCCCTTGAAATCTCTCCATCTTACAACTTATGCAACCGGTGATTGCTCGAGATACGTGGCATGTAGTCACATGCCAATACCGATCCCGATACCGCCCATACCAACATCCATGGGCTCGAGGCCGCTGCCGTCGCCCGGCAGGTCACGATCCTCTTCCATCATCTCGATGAGGTTGTCGAGATTCTCGTCCAGGTTCTCCGCGTCAGCTGGGGGCAGGCACTTGCGCAGGAGCCGGCGGTACTTGTCAATGTTCTCGCCCGTGCCAACCATGCTGAGCGCCTCGACGTAGTCAGACTCTGACTGTCTCTGCTCCGAGAGCATGGCCTGCAGCTGCCGCGCCAGCTCGAGGCGGTCCTCGTACGAGGCCTCGTTGGCATCACCGTTGAGCATGTTAATCTCCTGGTCCACGGCCTGCTGTACATGCAGGCGGTTCTGATGTGTGATGAGGGACATGACTTGATGCTTGGCGCGGTTGGCCTCGCTGATGATTTGCGCTGCGCCGTCGTCTGCTTCAAGCTGAGCCTCAAGCTCGGCCATGTGCTGGTGTACAGCGGCGAGCTCAGCTTGCGTATTGGAGAGAATACGGCGGGCTTCCTTCTCCGCCTGATCCTTTTCGCGGAGTTCCTCGTCGTAACTGCCCGCGAGATCTTGAAACTTTTCAATAATGAGCGGTGTGATGCGCGACTGCACCGTATTTGCGGCCTCTGAGTTGAAGGATGACAGGCCGAGCTTCTTGCTCGTTGTCATACGTTCAGGCACCGCGTCACGGAAAGAGACGTGGCGCTGAGAATCGGGCGCAAAGGGTGACGATGACCGCTGAGGGCCGCGCTCCTTCTTTGTGGCGTTGAGTTGGGCGATGAGGTCTTCCGCCCGCACACCCTCGTTATTAGGAATGCTAGTGGAGGCCTGCCGCCCGAGGAGTGCCCTGATGCATTTCCTCGCGTTGCGTTCTGCCGCCAGATGAAGGGCAGTATTGCCTTGCTCATCTTGCGCATCGATGAGCTGCTGCACATAGGCAGGTTCATGCGTCTCTTGTAGTTTGTTTAGGATATTGTCCAAGTAATATCTTGAACACGAGTGGCTGACAACCCGGCCATTCTTCATTACTGCCGCATGATGGATCACCGTGCTCCCTGTCGCATCTCGCGCATCGACAGTCTCGAAAAGCTCCTTCATCACCTGAGGGAACGTTTGCTTTTCGTAGCAGTTGGTGAAATGCACAGCCCGCATAAAGGGAGTCTCCCCTCTCACGTTCTGCACATTCAGGCTGGCACCGAAGCGCCGAAGCTGCTTGATGACGTCCACGTCGCCCATAGCTGATGCCCAGTGAAGCGCCGTGTGCTCCTCCGAGTCGATGATCCAATTCGGTTGGAAGTTTGGCGGCGGCTCAGGCCGGTATGCTGGTTTTTCATTCCTAGAGAGGAGGAAGTAGTCGAGAAGCTCGTCTCCGTAGACGGAGTGCTGTTGCTGCGTCAAGTCCTGGATGGCCTCTTCCCTCTTCCTCTTTCTGTGGCCCGACTGGTGGGACATGTCATAGCGGTCATCTTCACCCATGTATGAGGCGGAGGCAACGGTCAAGTTGTCAGGGGTATCATCGTCATTCATCATCGAGTCGCCGACCTCGTACTCTTCTGGCGGCGGCGCGCCTTGCATCTGGTTGGCAGGGGGCTGGGATTGTTGTGGTGCCTGCTGCTGCTGTTGTTGGAAGTTCGTGGCGGGCCATTTGGGCACAGCGGGTTTCTTTGGTGCTTTCGGCTTGCTCGTGTGTCGCGGGGCGGGGGGCGGACTCTGTTCGCCTGGGGTATACTCGAAGATGAGCCGCAGGCGGTCATAGATGTTGTTTCGCTGGGCGAGGGCGACGCCCTTGTCGAGAGGGATCCATGTGCCCTGGTACTTTCCATATCCACCCTGGATCTTTTCGTGCTTTTCTTTTTGTACTTCTCGCTCAAGAATGCGTGTTCGGGCGGGCTTGTCGAAGCCAGCGGCCTTTAGGATGTGCGTTGCGTTGATCCAGTCATCTTGGCGGCGTCGCATGACATGTTCCTTGAGGTCATCTCCGAATTGAAACTCGTAGACTGGAATCTAGAAGATCATTCAATTAGTGACGGGCTCAATTGCAGAGGAAATACGAATGCGAAGTCTCATAGGTCGTCTATGGGCCAACCCGAATGATCGAGGCTATCCCCTTTTCCAAAAGGAAATAAGTGCCCAGCCTGATGCCGTTGAATGACAGTATGTTGGAATTCGCGGGAGTCAAGCAGCGATTTTGCCAACTTTGCAAAGAAACAGGGGACTTACACCACTGTATGTGGCGCTGTAAACGCCGGGTTGCGCATTGCCCTTATTAACCATCGTCGCCGACCTGGAGCAAGGGACAGGCCCTGCGAACTTCTCGTATTAAGATCAGGAGGCACGTTGGCAGTGTTTTCGGTCTGTTCGACGTGAGAAAGAGCGATATCGTGGATGGGGCGGATGGAAGCACTTGGTGTGGCGTTTCGTTCGGGGTGGGAGTGGTAGTTGTGGAGGCGAAGGGTAAATGAGGCTCGGGGTTGAGGACCGGTATCACGGAAATTTCACCAGGTTTGGAGAGTGGATGCACTTTGGTGGTTTGGAGGAAAGGGCACGTCGACGACGCGAGACGCGCCTTCTTTAGATTACCTTTTACGCGAAAGAGCACTTTAAACAAGCGGCTACGCGCGCGAAAGAGAAGGGCCCGAGCGTCAACACGGGGCTGTGGGGCTCTCCTTCTTTCTTTGGATGAATGAACGAGTGGCTGAGAGCGCTTCAAGGCGAGTTACCGGGGTCACGTGTCTTTCTCCCTCCATCTGTGGTCCGAGCTTCCACGATATTGTCACCAAAGGCCCAGCGATCCTTCCATCCCAAGGGTCGTCTCTTTGAAGTCACCATGGGAACGAGCAGTTACCAACAACATCTTGCTCTTACCGGCTTTACTTGCACAGCTTACCACCAGTCGACCAGAATGCAACCTTTGTGCGATAAATCTCAAAGCTCCATTCTCTTGCAGAAAAAGGATCACCGCCTTCATACAATAGCGTAGGAGTTATCGGACTTATCAGAACAAACAATGCCAGGGAAGGCCGGAGTGTTTGCCAATAGACCCCCAAGAAATGAATGTTTGCCAAAACTTGAACATGTAACTGGCTGGCTTCTATCCGATTCCGGGGGGGTTTCGGCATGGTAAAGTTACAGCTCTACCGCCAGCTCGCCATTAGTAATCCCTCTCACTGGCCGCACCGGCGCCGTGACGTCTTCAGATGTCGCACGTATCTCACCTACCCCGCCAAGATGGTGGGGTTCATGGCATTCTGACTCCTATGAAGCCCACTTCGAAGCAGTTTGTCGAGCCTACCTGATCACGACATCGCTTCGAGAACGCAAATTATTGGCATTCTCGCGATATCCCCATACCGGACCAACGAGCTATATAAATATCTCGACGCTTCCCGTTTCCCAGACACGTCTAAAGCTTTGTCCGTCTTTCTCAAAATAGTTACCTCCGGCGTTTAGCTCCTCTCCACCTTGCCTTACTCGTCTTACTCAAGGATCCCCTAGCTTTCACCATGCCTCTCATCGCTTCAAACCCCAAGAACCGCATCATCCTGGGTCTCATGACCTTCGGACCTGATGAGTCCGCCGGTGCCCGAATCACCGATCTCGAGACGTACAACAAGGCTCTCGATGTTTTCCAGGCTCGCGGTTACAACGAGGTCGACACAGCCCGAGTGTATGTGGGCAGGAAGCAGGAGGCCTTCACTCGTGAGGCCAAGTGGAAGGAGAGGGGTTTGACGCTCGCTACCAAGGTTCAATATCCCGGACAGCCTGGCGATCATGCCGAAGACAAGGTGATTGAGTCTGTCGAGACTAGCTTGAGGGAGCTCGGCACTGAATCCGTCGATGTGAGTGAACATAAAAGGGCCATCTAGTCAGGGGTCAAGCTAATTATACTTTGATAGATCTTGTACCTCCATGCTGCGGTACGAACTGTGTTCCTGAGTATGGTCTCGGATAGTGACTAATAGTGGCTCGCAGGATCGTGCAACCCCATTTGCAGAGACGCTTGAGGCTCTGGACAAGCTCCACAAGCAAGGCAAGTTCGTGAGGCTAGGCCTCAGTAACTTTACCGCGTTTGAGGTGGCCGAAGTGGTCTTGACGGCCAAGTACAACGGTTGGGTCCGGCCGACGATATACCAGGGCATGTACAATGTCATCACACGCAGCATCGAGCCCGAGCTGATCCCGGCTCTGCGCCGTTACGGACTCGATCTCGTCGTGTACAACCCCATTGCTGGTGGTCTGTTCTCAGGCAAGATCAAGTCAAAGGACATTGTTCCGACGGAGGGCCGCTTCTCGGACAACCACGGCACGGGAGGCAACTACCGCAAGCGCTACTTCCGTGAGAGCACGTTCAAGGCGCTTCAGATCATCGAGAAGGCGGTGGAGGAGAACGGGCTGACCATGATTGAGACGGCGCTGCGCTGGACGGTGCACCACTCGGGTCTCAAGACTGGGGACGCTGGTAACGACGGCATTATCATTGGCATCTCGAGCGTGCAGCAGCTCGAGGATAACCTCAACCAGCTCGAAAAGGGGCCCCTTCCCAAGGCAGTGGTTGATGCGCTCGATCAGGCGTGGGCTATTTCCAAGGCGGACACGACCAACTACTGGCACCTGGACCTCGAGTACAAGTACAACACCCGGGAGAAGCTGTTCGGCGAGGGGGCCAAATGATCGGGGTCAAGTCCGATGAGTGGGCAGAATTCTGATGCGAGGTTGAAAGAATTGCCGTGGTAAATACGGGCAAAGTTTGATTGTATGTAGTCTTTGTGGTATTAATGGGCAAATGGTCGTATCAGATGTCAAAATCGAGGCACATGAATGTACCCTGTTCTTGAAGCGATCTCTGGCGCGGGATGTGAGGGTGTGCTTTTGTGGGTGTGGCAGCTGGGACCAATGCCAGAGTTTCCAGTCATGCGACGCCATGCGTGATGGCGTCAGGCTGGAGGATGGAACATGGGGCGAGGGGAAATGCCGTTTTGAGGCCCTCTTCTTCTCTTTACCCTCCGTCGTTTGTTAGTAAGCGTGGTAAGGTGGTTCAAGTTGTATGCATACCGCCGCAGTGGTGCAGCTATGATAGCCGGGCAAACGCTAAGACATGTTAGAGGCTGACCTCGCCAGAGTTATCAGACGCAGGTGACAGGCTTGTCGTCCTGCTCCTGACCGCAACTTGTGACGTGCGCGAGAATTGGCGGAAGGGTGTGGTATCTGGGTACTTGATATGGTACAACGGTAGGGCAGAGACGACGGTGCGCAAGTTACCTTAGTAGCGACCAGACGAGATGTCTGACCTCTCGTTCGGATACCTACTATACCTAGTATTATCAAGTAGGTACGGACATTGGTGTGGGAGCGATAGCGACGGAGAGGCTGCGTAAGTTTGGAGGGCTGAGTGTTGGAGGTGTTGCGTGTGCAGCATTGCAGGAGACCGAGGAGAGTGGGGCGAAAAGATGGGGGGAAGACCCCTTCCGCGCGAACCGCTCATGCCCGCCAATCTGGCCGGTGCCAAGTGGAAAGCAGCAGGTCAGCCGAGTTAGCTGTGTCTCGGCGGCGTAGGGATGGTCCTATCAAAAGTCACCTTGCTGGGTCATAGATATGTCATTCGTCACCACCACCGGGCAATGAAGATACCTCGTGAGTACGCGGTGCAATAACCAAGGAGACAGGAAGTATCCGTACGGACCCCATTGTAAAGCGAAAGTGCCTACACAGTACCTAAGGAAAGATTCCATTCCAACAATCCCGTGTGCCCGTTCGCCGCATTTTCCTGCATCCCGTCCCGAGGCCTGGGTTTGGCAACTTCCATGCGCCAGTCTACTGTAGTATCCACTCTCCACTCCTACCAAAGCCGAAAAAAAGTGTCCAACTGTACACATCCATTCCCGACCCAAAAGAGTCCGGCAGCAAGCACAAGCACTCGACTCGTATACTGCGTCAACTGCGTACCCCTTCCCTTCCTTACTCGAGCCAACTTGCAGCTTTCTGCCTGTGCAGCAATTGGTTTCCCCATTCAAGTCACTCCTTCACTTGATTAGCCTTTCTCTGTGTACCTTACCGTTACTCTTTCTCGGTCTCTCTTATCTCTTTCTCTCAGACTCTCGCTATTATCTCCTGGTGTCCCCCCTTCCCATTCTTACGTTCCTTTTATCCCTTCTTATGCCTCCCAGACTCAACACAGGGCCGGATGGAACCCTCAACCTCCCCCATTTGCGACACGATCATTCCCACAACCCTCCCTTGAGCGCAACCACATGCGATTCCAACATTTCAGATTATATCGGTAGTGGTACCAGCAGCCCTGGACTGAGCCCCGGGCTCGACCAGCGCCTGGCCGAATTTGATGCATTGCGATCCGCCGACGACGACTACTTCAAACACGATTACGACGACCAAGACGACGAAATGGACAGCCAACGTCCCCCCCTCCTTCGAAATCACAACTCCCGCTCCGGCCAACCTCTTCTAAACACAAAGGACGACGAAGATGACGACCACCGCGGCAGGAGCTATTCCACTCGCTCTCGAGGAGCCAGCCCCTTGCTGACCCCGAGTCGACCGGCCTTCTCTCGAGGTTCGACCATGCGAGCCCACTCTCCCTCGACAATCACCGCGAACGCTCGAAGAAAATATATAATTGCGGCTTTCGTCCTGCTTATCAGCTTAGTCTCATTCGTCATCCAGACCGAGTTGTCGGCATACATCCAGCAGGAACTGCACTGGGACAAGGCTTACTGCATGCTCTACCTGACCCATGGCTCCTGGGTGATGCTGTGGCCTGTTCAGCTACTGTTCCTGCGATTCAATAAGCGCAAAGTTTCTTGGGCATCCTTCTGGCGACGACACACCGAGCTGCTGCACACGACCGCCATCATGGTCCAGAGACAGGACCTCGACTATTCGCGACCCAGCCCGCAGCCCCGCGTCTCCCCGTGGACTTATATCGTCAAGACCACGGCCTTCGTTACGTCTGCTCTGACTATTGGTGGCTTGAGCTGGTATGTCGCTGTGAACTTGACAACTCCCTCCGATTTGACGGCCATCTACAACTGCTCTGCTTTCTTCGCCTACGTCTTCTCCGTTCCGCTGCTGAAGGAGCCTCTACGCCTGGACAAGTCTCTTGCCGTCATTGTGGCCATTGCTGGTGTCTTGATCGTCGCATATGGTGACACTAGTCCCGGCGAGGACGATGCCGCTCACCAGCAGGCGGCCGGGAACCGTGTCACTGGCAACCTGATCATCGGTGTTGGATCCGTCCTCTACGGTCTCTACGAGGTCCTCTACAAGCGATATGCCTGCCCGCCTGAAGGCTGTAGCCCTAACCGCGGCATGATCTTCGCCAACACGTTCGGTTCCTGCATCGGTCTTTTCACGCTTACGGTGCTGTGGATTCCGCTTCCCATTCTGCACTGGACTGGTATTGAGAAGTTTGACTTGCCGACGGGATACACGGCTTGGATGCTTTTCTGCAGTGTCGTTATGAATGCGACTTTTGCCGGCAGCTTCCTGGTCTTGATCAGTCTGACAAGCCCTGTTTTGTCCAGTGTCGCTAGTTTGCTGACAATCTTCATCGTCGCCATTACCGACTGGCTGCGCACTGGCGAGCCGCTCAGCGCTGCAGCTCTCATCGGCGGTGTCATGATTATGATCGCATTCGGCATGTTGAGCTGGAGTACGTGGCGAGAGATGACCGAAGCCGAAGCGCACAAGGCAGTTGACCTCACCGATAGCGGCGATGATAGTGAAAGAGAACGCGAGGACTAGGCGATTGCATAATTGGTGTCGGCGCAACATCAAACGGCGTTTGGGGAAACCCGGGTTTTATCTCTTTTTTGTCTTCAACATGGGTGTTGGCATCATTACATTGGGGTCGGCGGATAACTCAGGGCATTGGATTACAACAGCATGGTCGCGATAGACTTTGAGCTGTCGCAGCGGACGGAAGAAGGAGGGGAAAAAATGGCCACGGTCATTGGTTTACTGTTTGATTCACTGCATCCGGGGAGCTTGGCCCCGCTGTCTGCTATTCGCTTCCTTTTCTTGTCATTGTTTATTACTCTTTCTTCGGCATAGACGATATTGGTTTCGGGGTCCATGAGACACAGACCCCTTGTTAGAAAAGCAGCGAGATACAAGTTGTTGACAGCTGCTGGGTGGCCTTTCAAATGGGATGCGAATTTGCTGCGCTGCAGCACAACTCCTCAAGACAAGCTTGATCCTAACTCTTAACCTTTATCGCAGTCCCATCGTTGTCGGCCGCCATCCTAATCTTCTAGATCCGTCCTCGAGTCCCTCCGTCCTCCTTCCCTTCCTACCTGCGGCCCTTCCACAAGCCCACCAATCTGTTACTCTCTTGGCATTCCGTAAAGGCCAGGTAAGTCAAAAGCAGAAAAACTTGAGATAGACAGACTCCTTGCTTTGAAAAAAATCAGTTGATTTGAAACAGGGGGAAGGGCTCCACGTTGGGCATTAGACCAAGCTCCACGTAGGATCCTTGTAGTTGGCCACTCACGATGATTTCAGGTCGGGGCGACGCAATGTCTGGCGAGATGTTAATCTTCTGCGCTTGACCCCTTATATGTCCGCTTGAAAACCCGAGGATTGCTTTTGATGGTTGTTTGCTTCCTCTTTTTGATGGAGATGGTGAGTTTGAATGCAGTGACTGGAATCGCCGGGTCGGGTGGAGGAAATGCCGAGGAGATGGGAGGTGTGTGGGTCTGAGTTGCGGTTAGTTTAGCCTCCTGAGTTGCCAAGTCTATATACTACTTATCATGTCATCAACGCGGCACTATCTCTTAAGTTGCAACAACGTGAACGCGGAGTCATCTGATATGTGTTGATAAGTGCAGAACTCGGTCGCAACGGATAAGTCGCCAATGTCGGCTGGTAGCTTCGGTCTCTTTGACCGCACGGATGGGGGAGCTAAGGTGTAGATGTGACTTTCAACTGGTCACCGCGGGGGTTAAGCAGACGTTCTAGTCCTGGGAAGACTCGCCGGGGCCACGGATACCAAAGCGGGTATCGGAACTTTATGTTGATATAGCTGGGAAAAAACGGTTGGGTTTTCGAGTTGATGGCGTTTCGAAATGAGTTTGGTTAGAGAGAAGATGGGATGAAGACTCAAGAGTGGACAACAGAGGTGACGGCATGAATAAGAAAACAATGCAAGATTAACTTATTCTAAAGACAGATATTGGCGAAGCTAAGATCCGTCCTAAAGCCCTTTCAACCTCTTCCACGTCGTCCAAGCTTGTATCCGCCAAGTCAACTACATCCGCATTGGAATACGAGCAGGCGAAATTGTTCGAGATCAAGAGCACGAGTTACGTTCGCTGGACGTGGTCGGAATGTAGTTCAGAAGCATTGTTCCCCGTGCCGGCCGGGTTGGTAGCCGGCACCTCAGATACGCGGTTGGGCGAATAGTCGTTAGGCAGAGCCCCGGATCTCGAAGTGGGATCCGGGCTCTGTGACGGCGTTGTAGACTGATGTTGATACGGACCCGAGTTGCCGGACTGACGATTGCTCTTGTAGGGTTCGTACATCGGGGCCGGGGTAGAGGACTGCCATTCTGATGTTGCTCTTGTAGCGGGCACTGTTGCGTAGGTGTAAGGCTGGTTCGTTCCGGCTGGGCCACCGTTGTTGTCATTGTCTTTACTAGCCTTTCTACGGTTGCGTAGTATCATCCATACGATTGCAGTGACGATTAGGCCCATGACCACGAGGCCGGCAATTGCACCGCCGACGATTGCTCCGATAGGGGGTGCGTTCTCTGTTTGTGGGCTTGGAGCTGGGGCCGCTGTGTTTGAGTCCGAGGGAGCAGTTCTTGACTCTGAGGGAACAGTGCTTGCAGGTGTGTCTGGCGAGATAGTCGATGGGGATGATGAGCTGGAGGAAGTACTCGTAGTTGAGCTGCTGAAGGAGTCGACGAGGTAATGGACACCCGTAAACATGTTATTGCCACAGTTGAAAGCCTCGAGTGTAATGATGGAGTCGCGAGTTATGAACTTTATGCCGGTTGCGCAGAATGGAAATTTGATATCGGTGCTGGTTTGGGCACATGTTAACCATCTTGGAGCGATTCACTCGTAGAGGAGACATGCCGCTCAGGAAGAAACGAACCAGCAAGCAGTCAAGGACCCTTGACTATTTTGTGAGCAAATGGGGCTATCATAGTCTAAGCATGATGCCCAGGGAGATGATCCACAGCCAAAGATGTTGCCTCTGGTATTGCAGGCCAGATCTCCGCAATTCCAGGGATCACCATCTGTTGTCAAACACGTTAGAGGCGGTCCTGTTCAGAAGAAGGGGGAAAATCCTGGAATGGATCCAAAGACAAGATGGAAGGGGAGATGAAGGAGATGTGATAATCTGACAAGTACTATAACAGACTTACCTGTCTCGAAATAACCGCAATTTTGACTGCTATCCCGCGGCTTCAGAGGTATCGCGGCGAAGCGCAAATGAGGAGGCATCGTCGGCGCCGCAGGCCACAAGTCGGCCTTAGTAGGTTCTGCACCGAGCCTGGCCGAGTTTGCAGGAGAATTTGCGAAGCGGACATTTTCAAGTGCGACAACCGCAGCCAGGAGCCCGACGAATGGCAGGATAGTTGAAACCGTAATCATGATGATCACATGAGTGTGAAAGCGCGACTTTCAAAGTCCAGGAGTTGAAGATAAGGTAAAGTGGTGGCATAAAATGGAATGATTTGGATGTGGCCTGGTCTTGCAGAGGGAAGGAGCATAAAGAGGCGTAGAGAATACATCGGGTGGGAATGGTGGAGGTTTTCTAACACAACAGCTTTGAGTCTATTTGAAGAGACTGCTGTTGAAGAGCAAGACCTGGGCAAAGACATTCTTTGCAGCTAGAGAGAAGGCTGGGAACTACCCCGGACAAGCCTAAAGAGCCACCAGCTGATGGCGGAAGTGACAGAATAAAGTCTGGAGAGGATCCTCCAGTAGGTAGTGAGTCGAGTCCAAGGGGCCAGATCCAGGCCATGCGACAATGTCTTGTTCTAAACCTACTCATTGGTTTGGCTAGGGTTGGCTATGGGAGCGGCATTGATAAGAGCTGAAAGCAAGTGACGGGAAAGAAGGGTGTGATGTAAGGAGGTGGGGGTCGGCGACATGACGCAGACAAAGGAAGCCGGTAACAAGAACACATCATCACTGCAAAGTAGATAGATGAAACCTACGGTCAATTCAGCAACTTGACATATTATACATAGGACGGTGTAGGTTAGTGAATTATTTTACAGGCAGACATTCGAAGCCCGAGAGGAACATTCTTGATAGGAATAGCCTAAGACCCCTTTTCGAAGTCTAGAGTCAAATGAAGGCTGAATGTAGTGTAGCTTATACAAGTTGAAAGACGCTGTATATCCTTGGCTTATCTTGAGCAAACCAAGTGGCGCCGATGGCTGCACGAGCTGAGCTGATAGTTCTGAAAGTGCTTTTCCATATGGAAGGTTACATTGAGTGGAATCATACATGTACACTACTACATCACCAACAGAGTGCTCCCAGGCTGTCTATCTGCCGGCCTTTGATGAGAGGAGGCTCTTGAAGCCAACTGCCCACCTTGAACTGAAAGAAAGTTGACGCTCATGGATGACGGAACACTACATTTTGCTTACAGAGACTACCGAGAACGCCTGGTTGCACGCAAAAGCTCATCAATACAGCGAAGTGCTTTGAGAAGAAAGCGATGACAAGGCTGTAAATTGATGAGACATACATACAAGTGGCACACGCCACCACCAGGTATCAGTTCCCACATCTGATTCATGGGTAGACTGGGAAACAGGGATCACTTCGGATGTTTGACGTCCCGTCAGAATTTGGACACATACACGGCGGGTATGCCATGAGGCTGTAGCAACGTGGCGTGCTACCACACAGCACCAGGCGATCTTGCGGTGACGCCAGTCTCGAATGGTTTTATAATAAGCAATAATAATACGAACGCCTCACGCTTCCCACACTCAACCAGGAGTTCTCATTCAGGTCATTATCTCAAGCGACGGGGCCCTTACATGACCGATGACAATATGGACCCTACGAGGTACATCTTTCTTGCTCCGTTTGTAAACAATCGAAGTCTGCTTGTCCCAGATCGAGGATTCATCAAGCTCTCGGTGGGGGATGGCAACGCAAGACGAAAAAGTTTCTTAGTCTGACTCTCCCTCAGATTCAGGTTTTTGTTGATACCCTCCATTCGAGACCATTTTTCTTGAGCAACATGGCCAACGGGGCTGCGAACAACATGATTAGTGAAAATATGCCAAAGCTCCAGCCCAAGCCCGTGGCGTTTGTCAAGGGTTGCTGAGCCGCGATGGCAGCGCCCGCTCCAATGCAACGTACAAGATTGTACGACGCCTGAACTGTTGCTGATGCTTTGGGGTTCAAATCCGTCAGAAGGGTGCCGCAAATCTGAAGGCGATGAGTTAGGAACTGTGAAACATGGTAGTTGACTTGAAAACTTGCACTGACCGTGAATATACTCGAGGTGGTGGCACCACTGATGAATTGCATCACCAAAGGAACGGCAATGTGCTAGTACGGTCAATAAGGCCCTAGTCTCCGGAGGTCGCCAGCTTGGGGCACCTTACCCAAGCCGGAGACTAGGAAGTGATGTATTACATACCGATTCTTGCATGAGACTCACTCCGTAGCCTGCGGTGGTAACTGAGCTTAGAGCAACTAGCATGTAGATCCCGGCAAGCCGTGCCTCTTCGATTGGAAAGTCCGATATGTCATCACCTCGACGATATCGGCTGTGTCTTCCTTGCCTGACGGATACCCTCTGGATGTTCTTGTCTAGAAGTTTACCTGCGGACCCGTCAGTCAGGGTGGTGTTCAAGTCGTGTTGTATAAGAATGATGTGTCCATGTACTACGGACCTGTCGTATATGACGCTATAGCACCTCCTACCCCTGAAGGTAGGTAAATGAGTCCTGCTTCTAGATAATTCAACCTGTAGACATCAATGCACTGAGCTGACAGTGAGCTTTGCAATGTCATCTTGACAGCATAGGTTATAGAACCAATCAGGATAACGCTGAAGTTGCCTTTGGAAAACAACATCGCAATGCAGTTGAAAGGGTTGGGGATGTGGTATCGCCGCTTGCCGTCCTGCAGTCCTTGATCTTGCCCCACCGAGTCGATCTTTCGGTCCCGGGTGAGAGAGTCAAACAGACTTCTATGAATTCTGTGGGCATTCAAACTTCCATTCCCTACGATTCGACGTTGTGTCTCCGGAAGTATAATGATGATGATGAGCAGGTAAGTGCCAGTCAATATGACCAGAAACCAGAATATCCATCTCCAATTGAGCTTCTCCGTGAGTAGCCCGGCGATGACCGGACCAAAACTTGGAGCAGCGTTGGTACTTTATCAATCTGATCAGCGAAAAAATGACAAAACTCTTGACCAATAATCAGAAGCCTAGCTGATGTTTGAGTAAGGGTTTACCTACAAAACGAGCATAGACCCTACGTAGGAGCCGCGCTCAGCGACCGTTGTTATGTCTGCAACAATCCCATATGCTGCGCCGTATGAACCTATTATTGACTCAGCTATATGGTATATCAATGAGTTGCCATAGTGTCGTATACTAACCAGATGCTCCAGCGCTTTGTACCATACGTAAGATGAGTAGAGCAGGGTACGAATTCTGCAGCGCCAATCCAATATTTGACGCAACGACGAGAGTGAACATGAGGATGTATGCGGGCCTCCGACCGCCTTGATCGGCGATGTCGCCCATGAAGGCTGGTGCGATACCCGCTATGATCAGGTATGAGGTGACGGTGAGATTGATGAGCGCAACGGAGACGTTAAGATTAATGGCCATAGGGACTAAAGCTGGAAAGTAGATGTAACTGCTCAAGGTGGAGAACATGGCCCCGAAGGAAGCAACATAGCTAATCCATCTCTTCTCGCCAGTTGTGAAGATCGAATACGGCTCTTCTAACGTTCTCTGGGCACAAGGTGTTATTGCTTTGTCGTCATTCGAAATATTCTGGATCGGCGTATCTGACGAATCTGTTATAGCCATGGTGGCCGCTTACGATGAGAGCTCTTCAGGGAAGTAATATTGATTCTAGAGAGGCTGGCCAGATGCCTACTACTTGACACTGAAGTGTCTAGCCGGCCTTTTATCAAGGTCGTAGGATTAGATTATTTGACTCTGCATGCTTTGTTCGGCCCAAGCTCGTCAACCCCGCAGTAGGTTGACTCAAAGAAGGTCTTACAGGGTTGTGAAGTGATTGGCACAATTGGAGAACGTCAGGTGATGAGAAGAATGCCTATTGGTAGATGAGTATGCTGCGCTGTAACGGCACAGCTCGAAAGTCTGGAGAGACCTTCACATCAAGTTTGGGGAATTACGCAACATGGTTTGGAGACAGACATGTGGCATTTCATTGCCAGTAAAAACAGATCTTTTGTTACTTCTAGATGGCTCATAGCGCTACCCTTTCCTCGAACTCCAAAAACCCGTGAAAGATGATCAACTGTTCCCCTCTCCCAAATGCTACCGCGGTCTTCGAAACGACCTTAATCACGACATCGGTTCCCGTACGCCATGTCAAGGGAATGAAGAAGTGTCGAGTGAAATGAGATGCCTCTGCGAGATGTCTCAGGCTAACAGAGCAGACCCATCCAGCCGTATCTAAGAAGAAGAGACTCGATCGTATGCAGCCGATGACGCATTGTATTGGCGCAGATGTCATGCGTAAACTTTGACTCGTGATTAAATCTGTTGTACTTGTGATCTTGGACGCCTCGACTGCGACGATGCCACTCGCCTGCTCGGGTGAATGAGGAAGCCCCTGGGCCAAGTAGGCTGAACCAGTGCCGCTGATCCATGCGTGGTGGACTTTCGGTAGTAGTGATTGAGGTATGAGAGAGGAAATGCTGATTTCCGTGCCGACTCTTCTCAATGTAGACCATTCGTAGACATGGAGATGGCTCTCTTGGAAGGCAAGCAAATGAGAAGGGCTTGACGGATGCTTGACCCACCACGCTCTATTGAGATTCCTCTCTTCTCCCATCACAATTCCGTTAAAATTGATCAATTTTGTATCGGCATCAGTGCAAACGAGCAATGATTCGGCACTTGAACTCAGGATGACTTGAGAGATATTACCATCGCTTCGGCGGTCGAGTAAGCAGGTAGTACGCGCCCGAGACGCTCTTCCCAAAGATGCGATCTTTGTAAGGATATGACGTCCAGTGGTGTCGACACTGAGAAGCGTGCTATTATCGACATTCCAGTCCAGTGACTTGATTTCTGTGAATGCATCGTGGACTCGAAGTTTCTCGACGACATCGCCGGTGTTCAGCTCACTTACGTCAATCGTGCCATCCTGGCGCCCGATAAGCAAAAACCTATCGTCGGCTGGCTCGATAGCGGTTATGGCTTCTCCCCACTGAAAAACGTGTGCGTGGGATGCTGTCGCCTCAGGAAGGGGGATTTCTTCACTGAATGGCTCCGAAGAACTGTCATCGGACCCATCTTTGGGAACCAAGATGAATGGCTCCCAAACGTTGCAGCTTTGCCCTCGAATGTCGAAGAATCTCAGGTTATCAGTGGAAAATACAATGTCATAAATCCTCAGTTGATCGTCAGGCCTCTCAATCTGATAGATCGGCTGCAAAGTCTCGAAGAGAAAGAGATATATACCTCCATCCTCTGCGGCACCTGCGAGAATCCTACCATCCGAGGTGGCAGATAAAACAGACAGCGACGTTGGGAGATGATACTTGTTCGTCTGTTCTTGCGTCCAGGGGTTGCAAGTTACAACATCGCCGTCCTTGTACGATACTGCCAGTAATTCGAGCTCGGCAATCGGGTTGAAAACCATGTCCAGGGTTTGGGGGGTAGCGTAGACGTGCTCGAAACCCTCCTTCTCAAAATTGCCGAGGCTCTCAGTGGCAGTTAAATCCCAGATAGAAACAGACGCATTTCGGTAAGCCAGTGCAGCAAGTTTGTGATCCGAGTCAAGTCGTATCTGCACAGCTGGCGTCCACGAAGCCACCTGTTTGTCGCTTTCGTCTGACGAATCCGAGTCTGGGGGCGCGTGAAGAAGTATGTTCTCCGCCCTTTCGCCATCCTTAATACCGTAGAAAGCTAGAAAACTGCCCTGAGGATTGGCCAGGATGATCGATTGTTCTTCAGGGTCAAATGATATTGACTCTGGCGTAAAGTCAATGTTCTTTGACCAAATAGGTGATAACTGAATGGTCCCCTGAGACCCACGAGTTTCCCATAGTTGCAACTTTCGAGCACTACAAGAGGCTAACAGTGACGAGCTTCGATTGAAAGAGAGGTGACGCACCCTCTTTCCATGCTCCAGGGTAGCAGCTGCATCGAATGTGCCAGACCCAGAAAGATTGTAAAGTTTGATGTCTCCACTAGAGAGGCCAACGGCCAGGAGACGTGGACTACATGCTATTGCGCAAGCATCTTCTGGGAACAAATATCCGGTCAACCTGTCGTTCCAATCTTCATCAATCGGGCCTGAAATCCTTAGTCGCCTGGAAGGCTTTGCGAAGAGCTGTCCAATCATCGATTTTGGTGGGCAGAAGTGTGGGACAAGGAAGTGAATCGAAGATGGTGAGGCTAGAAGGATAGAATGGAAGGCAGCGAGGATATGGTAGATATCGTTTGCCCATGTTGCAATAGTCTGTGATTCCACACTGACGGGAGACTGGTATTTGGCTCGGCGGCCTAAATACGTCTTAAGCCTCTGTGCAGTAAGCGGTAGTGTCCACAGGTTCCCAGCTATAGCCGTCCTTTCAATCCACGTCAAGACATTGGTCCTAAAGAACTTGTTCAGAAGGATGAGTAGAGAGTCTGTCGCCGAAGAACCTTGAATAAGATGGTAAGAGAAGTTAAGTGCGGCATACTCGGATAGAGGTGAAGTAGGATTTATCTTGGCCGTGGCATTTGCTCGACGCGTTCTCGGTGGCGCAAAGTCGGCACTGCAGAGAAGATTGAGGCAGATTTCGGCAATTATGGAGTGTGAAGCTACACGGTCAATCCAAAAACCATCTTCTCTTTGCTGGCTCAAGAAAGCTGATGTCGTCTGATGTGCGATCCGGATGTAGGACTGACTGTCCACGACAACAAGGTGTCCTGTCATATTCTCGAGTTCTCTTCCGTTGGCCGTCAACGTCTTTCCAATATCAAGCTTAACTGCCTCGGCTAGCTCTCTAATGTGAAGTGGCTTTGGCGAGCAGATAGTCCACTTCAACACGCATTTGGCCAGCTCGGCGCTGGGTGACGCGGAAATCACAACAAGCATCCGGGAGTAAAGCTTGTCCATCTCGGGTGGAATTTGTCGTAAAATATCTTGCTTGTCTTCTATACTGTAGGCGTTCTCCAGATTGGCTATGGTGAGCGACGCCCACAAGAAACTGCCATCTGATTTGGCAAGCACGTCAGCGACAAGATTCTGCATGCCTCGAAATTGCTCGGCGTCGCCTGTGTGAAGGAATCTAGCGTTAAGGAATAGTTCAATATCTTTCAGAGAACCTTCCTCGCCAGTGAATATTTCCACGAACTCGGTGCGCTCCAGCGTGAGGTATCGACCAACCTGACCGCCAGGTCTACTGGTTATCATGATGCGGGCGGGAAATCGCTGGTCCATGCTGGATAGCATGGAAACTAAAGCTGGTAGCCCTTTGGAGGAGCATTCATCAATCGCATCTATGACCCAGAACTGGGGTCTTGGGTGCTCTACTTTGAAGATACGTTCCACGAAAAGGCTAGTCCAGAGCATGTGATGATCATCATGCTTGATGGTAATGTCGTCCTCGGCCATCGCAACCAGAGCCCGTCGGACCTCGAAGTTGGCGTCAGCCATTTGGAATGCCAGGGACCGAAGAAGGAAGGCCAGAGTGGAGGGGGTCTTATCCTCATGCTTGAAGAAATAGAAGCTACAATCGAGGTTGCAAGATTGCAGGTATCGGATGACATGACCAGCGGCAACCGTTTTCCCTGTCCCCGGGCGGCCATTGAGCCACAATATCTTTGGCGTCAGCTCTTTCGGAGTGTCCGATAACGGGCTCGTGCCATCCCAGGTTACTTCGGGACCGTCTACCCATTCTTCGAATGTCTCGTCTTCCGTCAACCACGTACAAGACCCGTAGTGCTGCTTCTCTTTGGTTGCGAGAAGAATAGCGTCGGGTCGCTGATCGAGACGGAGGAGTGCAGCGACTTTCTTCAATTGAGACCTGTGCTCCTCGCGACGTTGGAACAAGGCTAGAAAAGCCTTGATCAGCTCAAAAACTTTCGCGATGAGATCCATCGTGGATTTGCTTACTGCTAGCTCCCATCTCCTCGATCGTGGTGAGAAATGCTCGTTGCAAGATTAAGTAGTTCGGGTTGACAGGCGTGTCAAACTTGCAGATTTGCCGGTGATCTGCCTCGATATACTGAACATGTTCTTTGGGCATGCCTGTGGCGGTAAAAGAAAGGTGCGTCAGAAATCAGAAGGTGAAGAAGAACAAAGAGTATGTGTCGGTATAACCAACCGAGAATGGCAGACTGCTTTTCCACGACCAAGGACGACGTGGGGCCAAAGCTCATCGGCAAACTCTCAGAAAAAGACCACAAATTGAGCTTATGGCACACGTGTCGGAATTCGTCGTTGATTTGCTGCTTGTAATGTCAGATATCTGATTCTCGAACCGCCATTGGTGTGTTCCTGCATCAACATACTTACCTGGAGTGTTCCGCTGCCAGGTATCAAGTCGTCGAGGAACGCCTTGGGTCCGTACCCTGCTGACTGGCGGACCAATCTCGCAAAGTTTGCTGAATCAGCCCCCCGATGAGGCGTACCCAGAAAGAACATGGTGTGGATTCTCTGCCCGATAGCTTCGTAAGTTGGGTCGCGCGTAGCTATGAGATATGTCTTACGACAACCGGTAAGCAAACATTAATGCCAATTTAGAGCTCCAGGAAACATGCCTTCTTGGCCACCAAGCCGCCCATACTATGAGCTACGAATACGATGGGTGTCTGGATTGATTTGAGTCAGAAACGACAGGCAAGCATATAAGGAAGGCTGACTGACATTGCCGTTCTTGCGGAGGCAGGGAGAGTTGTAGAGATCGGCAAGCAACGCTTGTCCAAAATCGTGAACGGTCAAGCGACTATCCTTCCTTGTCGTCCAGTCTGAGTTGTAACCATAGCTATGGATACGCACGTGCTTGAAGCCAACCTCATTTGGGAGCCAGTCTTTGGGCCAAAACATACCGGCCTCCGCCGAATGACTCCATGTTTTCCTCGACCCTCCTCCCAGCCCATGAATCTAGGCCAGCAAGTATCAGCTTTACCGTACGGAGAATGGTCTAAGCCTCCTTCTCGACCTACAAAGACGAAGTCTATGGCTGGCTCTGAAGGCTCATGGAGCAGGTTCAGGCCGAGGGCTCCTTTAATGTCCGCAGCAGAGAGGGTTTGAATGCTGCTATCGGATCTCGACGATCGAGAAGAACGGATACTGAACCTGCGAAGTCTGTTTTGTAGCAGGCCAAGGGATGGCGCGCGAGTTCGGGAAGGGTCGCTTTCGGGAGGAGAAGGGAGTGACGATGGCGGCTCTGCGGTGATGCCAGCCAGCTAGCACGGAGGAGGTAGACATTAGCTCAGAGCTACGGGCGTAAGCGGGGAGAGAAGAGTGGGCTTCTGGGCCCGTACCATCGGGCTGGTGTGCACGTACAGACGACGGCGGGCCTGTGTCCATTGACATGGCCCTGGTGCCGAGCATCTAGTCCGAAACCAAGATGCCGGAATTCGGTGAACAGAAAGAGGCAACGTCGCTCTCGTGCCAGTCCATCAAATCCAGAAATTATCAGTGTCCAGCATTCGAACTGAATCCTACTGTTTCCACGTGATCAGGCTCGGAAGAGATACATGTGGCAGTAACCAACCGGGCGCCTACAGGGGCATGGCGAGGGTTGGGCGCCTTCAGCTCTTCGGCGAGCTGTTACCCCGCGTTGATCCTGTAGCCGCCCATCTTACGCTGTGTGCAGAGAGGAGTTATTAAAATCAGGCTAGGTCCCCATCAACATAAAACTGAAGTCCTCTACTCTCAAGTTGTCTGATCCCTCATTGCACGGCGAATATTACCTTGTGGTGCGAATTTGCTGTTCATCAATACCAAGTCGCGTCATCTCCGCGAGGTAGAATCGGCTTCTAGGTTGCCTTTGGCATGGAGAAGAGAAAGCCTAAGCAGGCCGATCCTTTGGGTGAAAATGTTCAGCTTGATGAAGCTGTTTTGGCCAGTATGCGGTTCCTATCCGATCCCGCTAGAGTCTTAATGTGGTACACTTGTCTGACGTCTCAAATCACAACAGAGCTTCCAACAGGCTGCAAAGTACTGTCGGTAGCCCCGTCAGGCCAGAGTCTTTGGGTGGCCACAGTCAAGATTGTGGTTCAACAGGAAGATGGGACGATAAGCGAGTATTTCAAGAAGGCAAGGAACTCGAAGTAATTTCGGCGAGAAATATCTCTGATTGTCAAACAGGGAGCTCCAGGTGCGGTTGGAGTAGATATGATGAAAGGCACATTCGAAGCCGAGAATGCTCTTTACACATTCGCTCCAGGCCAGGTTCCGAAGCCGATCGGGTGGGGGACCTATGCGAGTGACCCGGACACGCATTTCTATCTTTGCGAGTTTGTGGAAATGTACGACGACCTCCCTGGCGCTCGAGATTGGGCGACTTCTGTGTCGAATCTTCACCTCAACAGCATGGGCAAATCCCCGACAGGGCAATTCGGTTTCCATGTCACTACCCATCTCGCCAATGTGCCAGTCGATAATACATGGAACTCTTCTTGGGAATCGTTCTGGAGACAGCAGATGAAGAGCCTTTTCGATCAGGACGACCGTGTCCACGGAACGGATTACGAGTTGACCGCGCTCAAGACCGCGTTTCTCAATAAGGTGATACCGAGATACCTTGGCCCACTTGAGTCAGAGGGACGATCTATCAAGCCTTGCCTCATCCACTCCGATCTATGGCCTGGCAACATCAAGCCTAAGACGTCCACAGACGAATTGTGCTTGTTCGACGCATGCGCATATTGGGGACATAACGAAGGTAAATTTTGAACAACGAGTCTACCTAGGTGAGATTCGGGACTTTGCTGACGGTCTTAGCCGACATTGGTATCTGCCGAAACCCGAGATACAAGCTTGGTCAGCCGTGTATCCGCGAATATCTCAAAAGGGTGCCAGCGTCCGAACCCGCAGCGGATTTTGAAGGCAGAAACGCAGTGTACGCGATGAAGTTCCATACGCTACTGTCAGTCATGTACTCCAAAGACAAAAGATTTAGACAGACGCTCAGGAATGAGCTAGAGGAGATCATCGGGAAGATGGGGCTATCAATGTCTGTTGAAGATGATGAAGGAGACCCGATCTTGAAACTGTGATGATTTTGCAGCGAATCCTTGATTATTTCCTACTATTGCCTTAGTTGGTTCGGACACCGGATTTTGAAACTCAGCTCTGTTCAGCATGTCATTGGAAAACGCTGTCGCTATAAATTTATCATGATTCTATAATCGTCCAGATAAGATGAGTCGTCGTGATACAAGATGGGGTGCAGTGAAATTGCATCTTTATTGATGCCTGCCTGAAGTGTGCATGCTTGACTACTCATCTTGCCAAGCTTACCTACTAAGCTTGGGATGGCAGTCAATGCTCGACGCTACGGCCCCGTCTCCACGCCGCTAGGATAGCGGAGACACTTTAGCGAGTGACTAGGCGATGGCCCTCCTGGAACTTTCCGCTGAAAGATTTCTTCTCATCCTTGTTCGAAACGGTTCCTTCAACTCCATCACATCAATTCGCCCTACGCCTCTTCAAGTTTAAAAGCCACCGTCATGCTTGAGCAGACTCTCAAGGCCATTGGCCTTATCTGGATCCTCTATTCTGCCTACAAATTCTACGACGCCATTGCGATATGGATTCTCCCTTCTGTATCACTGAAAAAATATCAGAGAAAGGGCTCATATGAGTCCTGGGCACTCGTTACCGGCGCCTCCGCCGGCATTGGACTGGGATGCGCGCAAGAACTCGCGCTTCAAGGATTCAACATTGTTTTACTGGGTAACAACGAGGACGAACTGGAGGACGCCCGCGCTCTCATCGAATCGGAGTGTCTCCGTCGACACAAGGACGAGATCGCCGTCCGCATCCTCAAGGTCGATGCCATCACCAGCACACCCGAAAAGATACAGGCTGCTGTCGACAACATGGATGACTTGAAGATCACTGTATTGGTCAACAACGTCGGAGGTGTGTCCGCTCGGCCGCCGGCGATCTGGCATCTGCAAGACTTCACTGCCGAAGAGGTGGACGGCACTATCAACCTCAACGCGCGATTCATGGCACAATTGACCCGACTTATGCTCCCAATCCTCGCCAAGAACGGTCCTTCTTTGATGCTCAACGTCAGCTCCGGCGGCAGAATGGGAATGCCTGGCGTGGCCGTGTACTCTGGAACTAAGGGTTTCGTTTCTTCCTTCAGCAACGCCATCGCGAGAGAGATGAAAGCCGAAAAGAAGAAGGTCGATGTGCTTTGCCTTGTGGTTGGCGACGTGAAGACGCAGTCGAACGCTGTTGGCATGGCACCGGGGTCACCAGACGGCAGAGAATTCGCCAAGGCCGCCTTGAAGAGAGCGGGGAGAGCAACTCAAAGGGGCATGCTGGAAATGACGCCTTGGTTCAAACATGCAGTCCAGTTGGTACTCTTCGATTGTATGCCTGAGTGGATGCGGATGAAGTTCATGTCTGAGCTGTTCAAGAAGAAGATTGAGGCTCATAAGAAGGGTAAATGAACCCTTCTTCAGTCTGTGTCGCTGTTGACTCATACGACGACTATGGTCAAGCAGCTACACACGAAGCATCATACTTAGAGCAAAAGGATAAGTGGCGTAGGTATATCCAACAGCCTCAATTCACCGGAAAATACATCACTCTGAATTTTCAACCTGTAGGCTGTCTTGATCAGAGTCACCTCAGCGAGCATGTTAGATCAGTGAAAATGGCCTAGTGATCATGTACTGAATTATTTTCTACCTAATATTTAAGAGTTTCTTGGGAACTTCGGAAGTCGACGAGGCAGGTATGGCCTTATTTAGGCATGCGAATGCCGAGCACAATAAGCATCACGTTATGGATGTGTCAATCAAATTCGAAAAGATTTATCATGCTGCTTCGCGTGTTGTCAAATAATCGTTGGCTCGGAATTCCTTCAGGCTAAGGGCAAAATCCCACAGAAGACGCTGGGTTGATGATGCCCAAATCAATGAAAGTCTCATAATTCCAGTAATCGCTCTGAGTTCCTTGACCGTTGACTGGGTCGGTCCCAAAGAATTTGGCGGTCCAATATGAGCTTCCTTGGGTATATTTGGACCAAGCATAAAGCCCATCATTCAGATTCTTGGCCCGGCTGGCAAAAGTGTTGTTGCTGAGAGCCTGAATCGACCACTCGCCGATGAAGACAGGAAATTTCCCATCGCTGATAGACCCCTTGGCATCTTCGCAGATGAATGTCGGTATGTTGCCGGATGTGGTCGGTCTGCCGGCGAAGTAGTAATGATGGGAATCGAAAACCAGGTTTGCATCAGAAGGGAAATACGGCGACCAGAACGTCTCGGGACGAAAGCTGCCTTGTACCATGACTGGAATCTTCGGGTTGATCGCTGCGACTCGGGAAAGAACGCCGTTGATAAACTTTGCAACCCAAGCAGCACCATTGATGCTAAGTGCATCCGGCGTACCGAACTTGGAGAAGTCGCGGTTGTCCACTGGCTCGTTCAGGGGTGCAATGGTGTATGACTGAGGAAACCCGGAGGTCTGAACATACTGAACGACGGCATCTATAGTGCGGTATGAATACTCCAGGGCAGTTTCGTTGTTGAACCACCCATAGTTGCCGTCCTTCTCTCCAATACCCAGCCCGTTGAGCCCACCTGGTAAGGAGTGAACATCGACGATGACGTGCATATTGTACTTTGTGATGGCATATGTCGCAATGTTCTTCAAAAATTGAACTTGGTTGCCGGTGTATAACTGGGAGCCAGGAACCTTGATCCAAGCAGCGTAGTGTGTCGGGATGCGGAGGATGGTGACACCAGCTTTGGCGAGCTTGTCAATGTCGGCAGGCTGGACGTAGGTTGCATAGCGTCGTTCCAGGACCGGGCCACATTGCGAGCCAAGACGGACGCAAAATCCCCACTCGTCGGTGGTATTGCCGCCGTACTGACTCCAGAATCCGGCGTCTAGGACGGCTTCTTGAACTAGCCAGCCACCGAGGTTGACTCCGTTGGCCTTGAAGGTCTTCCAATCAACATAATCCTGAGTCGGAACAGCGAATGCGCTGACGAGAAAGAGGCCTAGGAAACTTAGGATATTGGACGTCTTCATCTCGGTGATGATGTCTGGTAAGTGACAAGATTGATTCGGAGAGGCAGTTCGGCTTGGTAATAAGGCACAGAAAAGTTGTTCAAGGAGTTGGTTCCAGAATTCTAGTCCTCGGAGCTCAGAACGGGATTAAATAGTAAAACACGGTGAAGTCTAAGACATCTATTCATATGGTCATTGGATCAAGTCCTCCGCGAGAAAATACAGGACGACTGTCATAGATATCCACAACCTTCTTAGCTCCGTCACTCTTTGACCCGAGATCTGAATTGAGTCCGGTCTTGTATCCTCGTATTACTGGACAACGAGAACGTTCCACCCCGTCCAAATGAGGTCTTCAGCCAAAGGTTACGGTTCTCATTATGCTTACTCCTACCTAGATGCCACGCGTGTAAGTGTGCGGGGCCCCGCACGTGGAGAGAGGGCGCATTAGGGGTTGCTACCCTCCGCATTTTTCATGGATTATACGTGGAAGAGGAGATTGGGGTTACACCACCAGCAAAGATCTACACAAACCCGGGTCATCCCCCTCTCTTCCGCGAAAGGATGACAGCATGATTATGCTTCTCTGGACGACTCGCAGACATTGAGATACTGCAGCTTCTGCTTCATGTTAGGCCACACGTTAACAAGGTGAGCACATGAAAGACATGCTCACGAAGACCAAATGACAACCTGTCTCGTCCCGATATCCTGGCTAATCTAAGTCCGTCTTCTTGGGAGCTTCTCTTCAACATGACCATGCCACAAACATTGACGTAACACGTTCGAATCTCTCATTATGGGAGACACTTTGAAGAAGTTATATTATTCTTCTCGTCACCTGGTGTCCAGCTAAGGCTGCCAACACTGAACTGGATGCAGTAGTGCAAGCCTGGAGAGCGTCCCGGTGGGGGGGAGTATCCGGTGGGCACCATCCACTTTCCGTCATATGGGTCCCACCCGGGCGTCTCCATCAGTAGACCTGTATCCCCCCTCGGCAATCACGTTGGCCCTCCAATATTCGCTTGGGAACCGCGTATTATAAGTTTTCGGGACAATGTAAGAGCGAATGAGGCGTATAGGGATGGAAATTCGTCTAGACGTCCAAGAATCAACGCTTACTCGCCCTCGGAGACTGGGGTCTTCAGATTCATTCTAGCTGATATTATAGCCCGAAATTACATGGACCTTGGGGTCTCTGCAAAACAAGACTCCGCGGATAGGTCTTTTGTGACTCCAGAGATATGGCTTCCGGCAAACTTGGCTACCTAGTGGATGCTGGTGCTACTTTTGAAATACGCGATCGGCCCTCTATTCAAAACATGTCAAGTCGCGGAGATCATGGTGACTGTGAATTTCTGCCTGACTGACCATATACTAGTGGGCATTAATAATGGATCTACCTTTGTGTCTAAGTGAGTCATTGTTAGCTTAGTGGATCAACCTCTTGTTGGATGTTTACTATTCAACTATACTTGGCGGGGAAATGCGCAAGCATCTTGTTATCAGCTCCATATTCTTCAGCCCAATGGCGGAACCCAAGCTTTTAGGATACACGTATTGAGTGTGTATGACTTATCAATTCAGAAGTATTCCCAATCTGCTCCGGAGGCGGGGCATCGTTGCTGCCGCACACGGGCCCGTCATAACACCGACTCAAATGCCTTGAGTGCACTTGAGGATTCTTGCAGTGGTAAAAAGTGTGCGCGCCTAGAAGCGACCGGCCTAGAAAAGAACCGATAAATCCGATAGTAGGTTTGCGAAAGTTACCTCATAAGCCTGGCAAGCTACCTTGGAGCCGGTGGTTTACTCCGGGTTCGGCAATGTTGCATTCGGGGTAAACCCACCAAATTATATCATCAGTCAGTTCTTGGCACGTGGTGAACAATTACTTGAGATTTTCGGCGACGTATGGATAGTTTCTCAATGCTTAAGATAACTGGCTTTAATGTTACGTTGACGGTAATTGAGGTCAATGTTAGGTGGCACTTCCGCGGCGGTGTCGTGATAGCGTGATAGCAGAAGGTACTTTTATTAGGTAACGTAGGGTAGAAATGCTCACTGCGTGCTGGGAAAATGGCAGTTTTGCCGAGTGTGAAGCTGCCGCCAATCTGGTCAGATAGTGTGGTGAGTCAGAGAATTGTATCCGCAGAACCACCGCCTCCTGCAGAGTAGATTGTCTGTTGATGAAGCTTTGCTGACATCGCCTAAGCAAGACTGTAGTCACGCTGCTTCCAATTGGACCCGCGACGAAATTGACCACGAGGAGTCGTCACTGGATCTTAATTGCCTGCCCGGAAAAGGAATGACTGAGAATCTCTGATAGATAGGCGGGATTCGACACAAGATCTCGATCCGATCTACATCTTGCTGTATCTCTGCGAGTCTGCGTACAAGTAAGTCAAACCCCCCACTTCCTGGCACCCCCCTGTTTCTGGCACCCACAAAAACGATGGGATCACAACCCAACCTCCTCATTACTATTAACTATTGATCCTCAACCACACCCACTACAATACAACTGCCAGCCTCACTAGGGCATTCAGAGTCGCTGGATTCAGCCGTAATAACCTCCTTTTCACCCGCTTCGATTTGAGCCCGATGGATATCCCTGATGTTCGCAAACTTCGTGTTGGGATCGATCTGAACAGTCTTCCTCTTCCTAACTGCAGCGTTGGTAACTTGAGCCCTCAGGTGAGCCAGCTGCTGGGCAGCTGCCAGTTGCCAGGCCTGCTCTGAAGCCTTTTTCACCTTCCTGAACAGCAGCCGTTGAGTGCTGGTATCATTGTCGAGTTGGGTGTATAAGTGCAGTTGACCGCTGAGCTCTGCCAGCTTCCTGGGTGTCGACCAGACCACTGCAGAGGAAGCAGAATCCCATGGCTCAACAGGGGTAGTTTGTTGACCATTATGGCATCGCTTTTTGCCCCGACTGGTTGGTTTGGGTGGGGCTTAGCAGAAGGCTCAGGTAATACCATAGGGTTCATCAGGGCTTAACCATCGCTACAGGGTGTAGACCAGTCCACTTCCAACCACTTCTGATGTTCGAGACTGATAGACCAGCAAGTCCTTCTGGTAACAGTCCAGGAAGTTCCTTTTACCTATAATGGTAGAGTCGTTCCATTGAGACAAGTAACCGAGCTCCTTCCGATAGGCTGACTTAACAGGGCTGAAGACAGACTGGTCAAGTGGCTGGAGGACATGAGAGGAGTGTGGTGGTAAGAACAGTAAATGGATATTGTTAATATAGCAATTCCACATGAAGTCTGTCGTCGTATGACTCCCATGCCCATCCACAATCAACAGTCGAGCCTCGCCCTCAGCCTCGGGCATAGTCTGTGGGATAAACACCTTCTCTAACCATTCAATGGCAGTTAAGTCTGTAGTCCAGCCATTATCTGTTGCTGTAAACTCCCACCCATCGTATGGAACCAGATGTAATGGAAACCACTGTTGTTGGACCGTCTTCCCTTGAAAATGATAAGAGGACGAAGTGCCCTACCCAAGGCTGAGATACACTCAATGATAGAGACCCATGCCCTCGACCCAGGTTGTTTCTTGCGAACAGACGTCGTCTCAGCCATGCCCAGCACTAACCCATTAGCTCCCTGACCTCGAGGATGCCAGTCTCATCCATATTATATCTGTTGGCTGGTTTGATGTCCTTGATCTCAGGGATAGCAAGGAACTTAAACCAGTTCCTAATGACCTCAGTAGATGCCCCATTAACGCGTCTAGAATCGATGGAACGACTTCTCTGAACCTTAATGATAGGGTTCCTTCTCACGAAGGCATAGATCCAGCCTTTTCCTAATGGTTTGGTATCCCCAGCAGCAGCCAGAACTCGCTCTGCGAATTCCTTCACCTGTTGGTGCGTTGCGAGGCCCAGCGAAGCCTGAATGCGAACCCATTGTGCCAGCTTACTCTCCTGGTCAGGAGACAGCCTCTGCCAGTCAGCAAAGCCACTTTCCTAGTCTGACCACCTTGGAGACGTAGTTGGAGGGTTGATCGTGGTATCCCATACTCCAATGAGGCTCTCTTTGACTCTTGCCGTTTGAGATGTCCTCGAGAGCCTGACGAAGCTGATCTTCGGTATATTGAGGCATTAGATATAGAAGATGTGCAAAAATGAGCCCATTTGGACTCGAATTGAAAATGTTGTGATAAAAGGAGGTTGGGGGTGGGCATTGCGTTGTGGTGGATTTTCGCGTTTTTGTGGGTGCCAGAAACAGGGGGGTGCCGGGAAGTGGGGGGTTTGACTTACCTGACTCAGCTTGGTAAGGAAGCTGGCTTCACAACATTGCAGCATTGCACTGGCAATAGCACCCCACTTTGAAATAAGCAAGGGGGCATGCAACGACAGTCGTAAGTGGTTTCTCTTTCCCAATCAACTCTCCGGCTAATTGATACGCTCCGCACCATTTAGCCCTACAGTTGAGTGCGCCTCATTAGACACATAGGGGGCGGTCGAATACACATCATATTGCCCACATTGAATATATATCCTGCCTAGGTACGCTTTTGACCCCCGACGCCAACTGGACTGAGAAGAATAGCGCCTTCACGGCAGAGTGATGGGCATTGCGGGGATTCCAGGGTGTGTGACACAAGCTAACATGCACATGCGCCAATGCTGGTATTAATAATCCAGCCGAAACTTGGCCCGCGGCCTACAAGGACTCTGACCACTGAGCAACGTCCAGATCGGCCGGTCGACCATTCGGTCGAAGCGGGAACAAAATATACCCACTTTCGCTGTCTACAGGTGGTTGCATATGCAGCGACGTTTTACTCAGCTCACCTCATCTTGCTCTTTGTGGACGTGATCTACACATCCCTCGTTCCATCAGGTCCACGGAGAGGCATGCATGTATGCAGTAGTTGCGGAGTTTTAGGTTTGGTCATACTCCAGCCTTCACTCCAAAATGACTACCTTAGGTATGAGATGGAGTATAAGAATCAGGCTCCCGAAGCCGTCTGCTGAAACACGTTCCACAACAATTCATCCCAAACCTCACAATGTCTACCTTTGAGGAATACGACGTTGCCTACGCCGACAACAAGAATATTCACTACCTCGCTGCGGGCCCAGTCAATGGACCTCTCCTTATATTCGTCCACGGCTGGCCAGCAATCGCACTTGCATGGAAACCTCAGCTTGAGGCGTTCAGCGCTCTAGGTTTCCGTGCCATCGCGCCGGACATGCCCGGATACGGCAAATCGACAGCTCGCAAGGTCATCGAGGACTACTCCCAGCAGAGTATACTCGAAGGACTGCTGGCACTCCTTGCACACACTGGTCGGAAGGAGGCCGTCTGGATCGGTCATGACTGGGGTTCCCCATGCGTTTCAACTGTTGCAGCACAGCACCCGGAAGTTGTCAAGGCTCTGGTGAACGTCTGCGTTCCGTATCGCACACTGGACTTGGGACTGAACACAATACTGGCCCTTGTC